ACTCCCAAAAATCATTAAACCGGATTCAAATCCATTAACCACATCAAAAATCCGATCACACATTCAGAATCGATCAAACCTTTTAAACGCAAATAATATTTCGCGGCTGCACCCAGGTGAGACTCCAGGCTGCCTACGTACCCTTGGACAAGGGATCAAGCCACACGTAGTTCTTTGTCTTTTCCTTAATCCACACCAAACACAATCTTTTTCAAACAACCTTCTACTAATCGCATAATACCCCATACGCCGGAACATCCAACGCCACGTACGGGGACCGCCACACGCCGGAAACTCCAGGCACGTGTGACATAACAATCACATAATACCCCATACGCCGGAACATCCAACGCCACGTATGGGGACCGCCACACGCCGGAAACTCCAGGCACGTGTGACATAACAATCACATAATACCCCATACGCCGGAACATCCAACGCCACGTATGGGGACCGCCACACGCCGGAAACTCCAGGCACGTGTGACATAACAATCAGGGAAGGTACGTATGATGGTGAAGTTCGAAACCCTAATAACCATATTTTAAAATGATATTTCCTTCCTTAATTCAATTGTTCCAAACCTCTATATATATAGTATAGACAATAACCTCTCAAGCATAAAACTCATAACCGGTGAGGTACCTAAAGTAGTGCTTATAGCACTTTAAAACTGACATTCTAACTCTTGTCTATCTAGTATCTCACATTAACAACCTGAGTACTCCACACATTATCAACATAGATAACATTTCCTCAAATATTATATATAAACTCTAGACACTCCAAAATGTCGAAACCCATATATATTGCAACTACTTTACAAAATAAAGAATTCAACTATTAAATATAAATAGAATTTAAATAAACTATTAAATTCCAAAAGCATAAGATTTCCATCTCAAGATCATGCCATTTATTTGAAAACAATGCCCATTCTCTTCCTAATAACCATAACCGAGTCCCAAGACTCACTTTCACAACTCTACAAATCGAGTATACCATAATTATTCATTTCATAATTTCAATTATCAAATAATATCCAAATAGCTCAAATAACAATTAAGACTCGTTTACAAGGTCATCCTAATATTTTTCGAAGTGTGAAACTACCTCGGAAGACTCACGGTCAACCGAGGGTCAAACTTTCCAAATTTGGTCAATCGGGCCCGCGGGCCCCACGACCTCCATTTTTCGATCCGAACATCCCTAAGGGTTCCACAAGGTTTAATAAACCTATCCTTCAAGTTTGGTCCGTCTGCTACAGTGCCACACCACAGGCGCCGACAGCATGTGGGTGTCCAAAGCGATAACCACTCGCCGGAAAAACTTAACATCTTGACTCCGAACTCCTACTCTAGGTAATACACCTAA